AGACCGAAGATCTTTCTCTCTGTATCTGCTTCTCTCTGTATATCTGACTTTGCAATAAAAATAAATATTTTTGAAAATCAAAAATAAAATTCTGTATGTAAACCAGATGAATCTATCTTAACACACACACACACACACACACACACACACACACTTGATTGGTTTTTCCAAAAAAACTTCATGAGAAATATGCCATGTTACAATTATTTCCCCCTCAAAATACAGTTCCTGCCCACAATCTCACAGGCAGATGCTCCAGGCATTAGTACTAGCACCTGTCATAGTGATAGTGATAACATACTTTCCCTCACTGCTTTTCCCACTCCTCTGTACCATAGTAATATCATGTAGTATTGAAACGCTTGCTTAGACTTTCTTCAAGAGTTGGGATGAGGAGAATTACAATTTTAAAGAAAGCAGCAAATGAAAATTATGTTTTCATGTCTTTCTTTATAGTACAAAAGACAGTTGTCCCTAAACTTAATAGGGTCAATTTGTCCACTGTCCTAATCCCATTCCTATAGGTTCCAAGAATTTTTTGCCACTATACTTGAGTGATGGAACCTCTCCCTAAGCCCATTGATGTGATGATCTTCAATACTTGTGTTTCTCTGTGATCCATTTTCAAAAAGTATGACAGACTCATTGTACCGGTCATGTGAACTCTAGCCCTGCTAACCTTATGACTTAGGCCACTTCTTTTTTGTTTTGTTTTGCTTTGCTTTTTTTTTTTGCTTCATATGGTATATTTATTTTAATATTTCTGAGGAATCCCCATACTGTCTTCTGCAATGGTTGTACTAGTAAACATTTTTTTTCTGTATCTGGGGCAAGGGGAGAGACAAAGGGACAAGCTCCACCCAGCCTCCCAACTCTCTCAGGTCCCTGATGTGGGGCATGCTCCAAGGATCCTGCTCAAGCAGTTTTTTTTTTAAAGATTTATTTTATTTTTATTGGAAAGGCACATATACAGAGAGGAGAGACAGAGAGGAAGATCCCCCATCTGCTGATTCACTCCCCAAGTAAGCGCGATGGACTTCCCTCCCGGGCCACAAGCAGGGAGCTGGATGGGAAGCGGGGCTGCCGGGACTAGAACCAGCATCCATATGGGATCCTGGGTGTGCAAGGCGAGGACCTTAACCACTGCGCCATTGCACCGGACCCCAAGCAGTTTTGATAGTTCAACATTTTTGAATTGCTGCCAATCTTGCCGTTTTAAGCATGATGAAATCCATTCAGAATCCGTTGGCTGACAGTCTCTTCATGGTTGGGGTTCTGATATCAGCAGTTCGGTTGGAGGTATACCCAAATAAACTTCATCTGAGGTGATCCCAAACCTGATTCTTGTGTGTGCTCATCAGTACAAGGTTCGGTACAGTCCGTTGCCCTAATCAACTTATGCACATGCTGGTGGTTGATTGCTGGGTCAGTTCTATTTCCAGCTCTGTCTTTCACATGAACCAATGGGTGCTTTTTTTTTTATTATTAAGATTTATTTATTTATTGGAAAGTCAGATATACAGAGAGGAGGAGAGACAGAGAGGAAGATCTTCCATTTGATGATTCACTCCCCAAGTGAGCGCAACCGCTGATGCTATGCCGACAGCCGATGCTATGCCGATCCAAAGCCAGGAGCCAGAAACTTCTGGGTCTCCCACACGGGTGCAGGGTCCCAAAGCATTGGGCCGACCTCGACTGCTTTCCCAGGCCACAAGCAGGGAGCTGGATGGGAAGTGGAGCTACCGGGATTAGAACTGGTGCCCATATGGGATCCCGGGGTGTTCAAGGCAAGGATTCTAGCCACTAGGCCACGCCGCCGGGCCCAGAACTAATGGGTGTTACACTCCAGCCTGATCCTGTCCACTTCATACTCTACCATCACATAAACTAGTGGGAGTTGCAGCCTAGTTGGGGCAACTCCCAATAACCCCACCAGGCCTGCCCCCTGTCCCGGTTCCCATGCTTGCCAGTATGTACTGCAGACTTGTTCAGTCTGTCCCACATCCCATTTAGCCCTCATACATGTCAATGTGCATTGAAGCTTAGTTCAACCCAACCAACACTACTATCCAGCCCACACACACACTGGAGGGTACTATTCTGTCTAGCCACCCCTGCCCTGTCCTGGTTTTCGTGTTCTCTGGTGGGAGTGGTAACCCAAGAGGGAGGTGCCCACTATTTTCCTACTAGGCTACTCCCTCTCCTGGATTATGCACTCCCTAGGTGGTTCTGCAGTTTAATTTGACAGAATTAGACCCCAGAGCCAGCTTCTGCCATCTGAGTCTGTGGCAAAGTCCAACCAACCCTCACCCACTCTAATTTTTGCTTGCACCAGTAGGAACAGTCAGCCCAGTCCAGCTTTTCCCTGATCTAGCTCACATGAGGCCCACAGGTGTTGTAGCCCTGTCTTGTCTGGTCTGGTCTGACCCCATTCCAACACACACTCTCCAGTAGGAGTGACTGTCTAGCAGTGGAACCCTCCCCATTCCCCCTACCGGCTTTGCCCTTTCCCTCCTGGTTCTCAACTGTGCTGTTTGGGTGCTGCGGCCAAGTCTGGTATGGCCCACCTCTCCTTTGCATTTGCCAGTGGGTGTTGTAGCCTGGCCTGGCCTGGCCCAACCCCAGTTCCAGCTGCTGCTGGTGAGAGTTACAACCTAGCCTAGCCCAACAGGAACCCAATCCCAGCCAAAATGTGCACTGGTATGTATTGCAACCATACCTGACCTGACCCACATTTTGTTCTGGTGCTCGGATTTACCAGCGGATGGTGTGAACTGGTTCAGCCTGATCTGTCCCTGGCCTATGCCAAATGTATGATGGTAGGTATCTTTCTCTGGCCTGGTCTGGGTTGCTCCCTATTGTGGTTCTTGAGCTCTCCTGCAGGGACTGTGATCTGACAGAGGAGTTTCCCAAGCTTCTCCATCAGAATCTCTCCTATTGACAGATCTTGTGCATACTGATGGGTCCATGGGCCAGTCCTACTTACTCCACCTCCTGTCCTGGCAGTAATAGTGGCCTTTCCTTACTGGCCTTCAACTCATTCCAGCTTTTACTGTTGGCTGTTTCAGCCCAGCCAAGGCTCGTCTATATCCAAACACAGCTCATACATGGCCCAGTAAGGGCAGAGACCTAGCCTAGTCCATCCTGCATCTACTGTGGTTCTCCAAAATACCAGAAGGTGCTGGAGTTAGCCCAGCTTGGTGTGCCTAGTCCCAGTCCACACTTGTGCCAAGGGACACTGCAACCATGTTCAGAGCAGACAGCAGCCCCCACTCCAGCCCCACACTTATCAGTGGGAACCCCAACCCAGCAAGGGTGTACTCTCATAGCTCCCCAACGAGGCCTATTCCCTGCCCTAGATTATGCACATACCAGTCATTGCTCTGACCCAGTTGGCTTAGCCCCTCACCTGTCTCAGGCCCTGCCTTTGATGCTGTGGCCCAGTATTCCTGGATCATGCAGACCAGTTGGTGTAAGAGACTAGCTCAGCAAGACCTGTGCTCCAGCCTGATTTCTGTTCTTCCTTTTGAGTTGAGATTTGCTTGGCCCTGGTCAGTTCGTCCCCTTCCAGTTGCAGTTCGGAACACCCCACATCCTGTTTTAGGATGCACATTTGGGTGCTGCTGCCTTGACTTGCCCAGACTGTTGTCAGTTCTTTTTCCTATGAGTGATGGCTGGTTCCATGGTCACACCTAGCTCAGCCCGTCACCACCCCAATTCTTGAGCTAACCAACAGGACTTGTATTTCTACAGGGTTGGACCCATACTTTCCCCACAGAATCTACATCCCAGGCCTGGTTCTGTCATGTGCTGCTTAGTGTCTTTACCCTGCCATATGCAACCCATCCCGTTTTATTACTCAGTCAAGTACTGGTTCCTAGCCCTGCAGCCAGGTTTCAGGGTGGGGCAAGAGGCCTAATCCAGTTCCACGATTCTCTCTTGTCAGGAGCCGTGTACTGAAGCCATTTTGAATATAGAACTATGGGCCAGTGGAAAATCCCTGACTGGCTACATGCTTGGGAAAGAGGTTATGAAACTAATCACACGCTTAGCTTCAATTGTTTCTAGCAACTGTTTCAGAATGTGATTTATGCTGTATGCGCTGACATCCTGTTACTGATTACTTATGCTATTGTTGATATGTTGGTTACTATTGTTGATAAGGTGGCTACTCAAGAACAATCGATCTTGAGACCATGGCTTGCATCCCAGTTTCTCCTTTCCTCCCTGAGCCTTAGTTACTGAAGAATATATAAACCCTCAATTAAAATCAATAAACTGACAGCTTGATCAGACATCCTGTCTTGCTGTCCATTCTTTGTGTCTCTTGTCCAGTCATTCTCTCCTAGGTTGGTTGCGACCCCCATTGACTGTCCTGCTGGACAGGACACCCTCTTAGCATACTCACCATGAGGGGAGAAATCTCGCTCTCTGGCCTCCCAACAGCCTGCGACTCGGTCACTGTGGGTCAGCAGTGCCCATGGGCCAAGTCCCAGGCATCGAGTCTGACCTGGCCCAGGTACTCTCTGCAAGCAGGCTGCCACTGCTACAGAGGGCTACTGTCACCTGAGCTGTCAAGGTCGAACTCTAAGATTTATTTGTTATTTGAAAGATTTACAGAAAGAAGGAGCGATAAAAAGATCTTTCATCCAATGGTTCACTCCCCAAATGGCTGCGTAGGTGAGCTTATTTGAACCCAGATTTTAGGAGTTTCTTACGGATCTATATGTGGGTGCAGGGTCCCAGAGGCTCAAGCTATTGTCCACTGTTTTCTTCCATCATCAGCAGGGAACTGGATTGGAAGTGGAGCAGCCAGGACAGAAACTGGTGTCTACATGGGATGTAGATGTTACAGGTACTTCCTGTACCACTGCACCAGACCCATGTAGTAGGTAAAGTGGATGGTATTTGATCTTATCAAGTGTATGTGTATTTTACAAGTTGTTTTTACATCAGAAGGAGTTGAGGCACAGAGAAATAAAATCCTTTCGAAGTAAAACTTTAATTCATGAACAGATGAATTGACTTACATTTTCAGCTTTCCATTTTGAAAATGGCAGGATTGTGTTTCTCACTTTAAGGAGAAATTTAAGGTTTGTTTAGGTAGATCTTGAGATTCTTGTCACCACATGAATATTACTGCTTTTTCAAGTCCTCAAGCACTTCCTGCTTTGTGATTCTGGCCCATGCATCAGGAATTTGACCTTTACCTGCAAATTTAAGCTGATATTTCTCTTCCAGATGTGATTTGAAGTAAGAAGCAAACCACTTCCAGTATGGCAGGGTGGATGAATCTGGAGTGATGCGCCACGTGGCATAATCCCCTCCTGCATTTCGGTAGTTCTTGTATGGGAATTTCTGGCCATCAATACGTTGAAATAAGGAATCACTTGCCACCAAACTTGTACAGCAAGCAGTGATCAAGTTGTCTGTCATTCTCCAATGCCATCCATTGACTCCCTGTGGTCGATGGAAAGGAACACTGTGCTCTCCATCATGGTTAGGTATTGTGTTTGTGCAGATGGCTCTACAGAAGGGACACTGTTCCCAGCAGCCACACAGGTGTTCAGAGAGTAGTTTCTCAATTGCAGGAACCATTTCATCTACAGGTTTACTCAAGCAGCTTTGTTCAACTATCTTCATTACAGGATCCAGAGCTGCACTCATGGCTTGCTTGAGAAACTCCATGTCTTTAATCTCCTGGTGTTCAATGCTTATCAAGTCACTTCGTGGAAAGATGAAGTTGCTCCCGAGGTGATCACAGAACAAATCCAGCCACTCAGAGGCAGTGCTGCTTTTGTCTTTAGCTTCTGCTGTGGATTTATGAATAGCGGAGAGCAGGGCATTTTTTATGTCATCTAAACTTAGTTTTAAAAAAGCCTGTATTGTTTCAGCCCCTGATCCTGAACAGTACTTTCTAATACATGTTTCAATGTAATTCTTGAAAAATGATTTTGGTTTTTCAATATATTGACAATAATTTTCAAAGTTCTCCTCCTCTGCCAGAGAGATGAGAATGTGTTTCTCCAAGTTAGCTCTGTTTCCGTTGAATTCAGGACAGGTACTTCTCATGTCCCCAGCAATTTTAGGGACTGTTTTTTGTCTTATGGTGGTGGACACAGCTGGAGAGAGTTTCTTCCATAGAAAATCAACAAATGTTGTGATAGAAGTTGCTCCTTGGCAGGAGATTTTAAAACTCATGAAGAAATCATCTTTCTTAGACTCCAAGTAGGTCACAGGGTCATTTGCTCTCTTGAATGTTCTGTGCATCTCCTCAAAACACTGTGAGGCTTTTTGGAATAAATGCCGACATATGTCAACTTGATATTTTTTTGTAAAGGAATACCTTTCTTTTCCAGGTGCAGATTTTATTTCCTCATCTACTATTTGCAGGATTTTATGGAAATCACTGGAACTGTAACCACGTTGGTGCATCTGAATGTCAGTAATAGTTTCTTCATATCTTGCAATAATCTGATTATTAGTCATACTAATGGTTTCTTTATCATGGGCCTCTAAATTATTTTTGAAAAGGTAATATTTCTTACTTATTTTCACATGTGTGGTATAATTGAGTTGGAATATCTCTCCAGAATTTTTGCTCAGTGTTTCTACCACATTTGGTTCACGTCTGAAATAATTCAAAAGGATGTTTTCAGATTCTAGCTTAATGTTAGGCTCTTTGACTTGAGGGAAAGTTGAGGACACATCATGGATCCATTTTGTCCAAAGTTGATGAAATTTCTTCTGTATCTCTTCCATACTTAACTCTTTATCCTTTATAGATAAAGCCAACCTCCTGCTCTTTTCTAATAATTCTCTTTCATAGTTTGCTTTTTTCTTATCCAGACTTTCTTGACTGTCTTTAAAATGAATAAGTTCATTGATTTTTGTTCTGCATTCTGAAATGAGTTTCTTATTAAGTGTGAGGAGTTTATGCTCAAAATTAGCTTTCCATTGAATTAGTATTTCATTATCTGGATCTTCATTTAAAAATTTTTCAAATTCTTGCTTGACAGCTTCATATTTTTCTTTAACTGGTGTCTCAACTGTGCTTCTGTTGAGTGTCTGCATTTTCCCATTCTTAATCTGGTTGGTCAGCTGGTTCTGCAGTTCCAGCACATGACTCCTCAGTTGCCAGGTCCACTGGTTGTACATGGTTTCCAGTTTGCTCATGGCCACAACTTCTCTGGTGTTCCTGAAACTGAAAATAAAGTTCTCACTCACCAGAGCTTTCCACATATCTTGAACACGAAGTTTTACATCTGATATCTTCATGATGCTTCCCTTGGATTCCTGTTTGGCACTCATAAGAATATTACTTTTCAATTCCTGCACGTTGAGGCTGTAGCGAGGATTGGGAGGGGCCATAGGAGGATTGCCATTCCAGAGATGCGCAAAGTAGTAGACCTGAGTGTTGACATCAAACTTAATGACATCATTGAAGCAGGTGATGTCTGAGCACTGTTCCTGTGCTGCTGCTAATTTTGCCATTTCGTCTAGTCTCTGCACTAGTCTCCTACGTGTTTCCATCAATTGGTCTTCAGCAGTAACTTCCCCCACATTCTGATGGATGAAGAGGCAACTTGGTGAGATTTTCACCTGTTTCATTCTCAGAAAGGCTTGGACAACTATCTGTAGGATATCCTGCATCTCTGATGGGTTCTCCCCAAATATATTGATGAGAGTCAAGTTCCCAAGTCCAGTGACAAAGGTTGCCAATTCATTGTCTCTGTTCTGGGATTTATTACTGAGTTCTGGGGCTCGGAGACCTTCGGTATCCACAACTAGCACAAAGTCAAAGCCAAGTTCCTCTGTGAATGTCTCCTCCACCTTTAGGAGCTGCATATAGGCCCCCCGGGTACACCTGCCTGCACTGACTGTGAACTGCAGCCCAAAGAGTGTATTCAGCAGAGTGGACTTGCCTGAACTCTGCAGGCCAAGGATAGAGAGAACAAACAGCTTTTTGTCTCCAAGTTTCTCTGCAAGCTTGTCAAAAATAGCTGCCACCCACTTTAGAGGCACATATGAGGCATCCCCATCCATCAGCTCAATGGGAACACCAGATATCATCAGATCTGCAGCAATTTCAGGTAGAGAATGAGAGAGAGCCATTTTTTTTGAGGATGATTCTTCCAGAGCTTCATAGATTTGGCCAACTTCTCTGAGAAGGTACTCAAATCCGAGTCTGCAGTTATTAATCTCTGAGGAAATGGCCTCTATCTGACTTTGCAAGTCTGTCAGAGAACTGCTCTTTGGCATGTTTTTCCTCTCTTCTTGTACCTGTAGCCACAAGGACCTTTGCTCATCAAGCAACTGTTCTAAGTGTTGTGCAGTCAGATTATCCAAAAATACACTCAACCATGGTAAAAAATAGAGTTTGCTGTAAGTTTCTGAATTTCCCTGAAGAATTTCAAGAACAGATCTCATTAAATCATTGAGAGGAAAGGCTTTGATCAGCTGTTGTTGCCGTATCTCTTGTTTCTCTGTCTCAATGTCACTCTTGTGTTGCTCAATGCTCCGATTGCCCTTCTCTGTCAGATGGTAGAGCTCTTTGTCCTTTCTACACCACAGGTGCCACAGTGTTCCCTGTAAGGGCAGTAAATGTTCCTTCACGTGAGATAACTCTGTTTCTGACAGGAGGGCCATTACATTTTGTGCCTTTTCTTTGCCTTCCTTACACTCTCTGTTGTCTTCATCAATGAGGAATCCTTGCTGGCGAGCGATCTGGGAACAGTCTTCTAGGCTGATAGAAGTGTCAGGGGACTCTAGCAAATGCCTGATTGCTGTTGTGATCTCCTCTGTTAATTCTGCCTCATTTCTATTCCTGATGCCAATTCTTACTCTCTGACCAGAAGTATTGACCATGCCTTTTTCTTTGTCATCAAGCAAGAAGATCAAAGGTCTGGAAGAGTAGCATAGCTCACGAACAAGCTTCCTATTTTCTTCATTGTTATCAGAAAATTTCATGAGGACCACAATGAGAGAAGAGATTTCCTGCAGAAGAGTGAGCTGCTGCTTATGTTTCTTTGCATCTCCATGAAGATTGGTGAAGGTCACACAGTTGTCAAATCTGTCCCCATCATCACCACCAGGACAGAACCAGCTCACTTCTACCACACCTTCCATCAAGAGACAGTCTTTTGTGCTTCCTTTGTAGTGGCGGTGAAAAAACACATCATGTTTATGTTTACTTAGAATACAGTTCATGATCTGAGATTTGGAAGCAGAGAGGCCATCCCCAACTCTGATGAAGGACACAATTGGGGTAGAGACACAGCACATCTGCTGATTCCTGTAACTGATCTTCTTCCCACCTGGTGATTTACTGACTTGCTGCCAACTTCTCCTGATTTGCCTGAGAGACCAGAGGGAGAACTCAATCTGAGAATTGCAAGGATTAGGCACTACAAGGGGGAGGGCAAATTGGCAAATGGCAAGTTTGTCCAAAATATATTGCCTGGTATAGTCATCTACACAGTGAAAAATTGCCATCTGAATGTCCATTGGGTGAATGTGGTGTTTGTTGAGCTGGGATGGCTTTGTGGATGAAAGGTTAGTGGAACTGGAGCCATCTTCAATAAAGTCCTCATATGGATCAAAATCCTTATTATCCTGATTGGAGGTTGTTGAGGCTACGTGGTATTCTGTCTCTCTATCATCCTTGATGGCCAAGTGTCTTAGGCTATAATCCGACATTAGCAACTTCTGCAGGAAGTAAAAGGGAAGCTCCTTTTCAGAGCTGGGCTTTGTGTCATGCACAGACTTCTTGTAGATAATATGGAAGTTAGCTCTGCTCATCCTTTTTGGGTAGTACTGTTCTAAGCCTAGCCTTTGCAGTAATTCTAGGAAGAGCCTATTTTCTATGACCTCCCCTGTTCTGTTTTCATCTTCCTGTAGATCATGGGGTTGTTTTTTTCCATGGAAAAGACTTTCCAATTGTTTTGCCACTTCGTCCATGTGCAAAGAAGACTTAGTGACTTCACAATCCCCATTGATCAGCAATCTCAGTTCTTTCTCTAGAATATCCCAATCATCTTCTGCTCTATGTTTGCCTAGGACATGGACAACCTCTTTAGACCATGGTTGCCCCATGTGTTGTTTCATTAATTCTAGGCGTTGTGTTTTTTCTTCTGGAGAAACAGCTGTGACTCCAACTGTGGCTGTCAGACCTGTGAGCAGCAGAAATGCCTGGGCCCTGTACATGGAAATACTTTTGAGTTCCTGGTATTTATTGTGGGAAGACCTCATTTCATTTAGTAGGAAGTTTAGCTCATCTGCCCCTACACACTGAAAAGTATGGTTTGCCACCTGATATCCTGCACCAGTTGCAATGAAAAGTAGCAAAAGGCGTGTGTCTGTCTTCCCTGCTTCTTGGAGGTAATTGAAAAAGGATCTGAGAGCCGAGCTGATTTCAAAATTAGCCTTTCTTTGAGCTTCTTCTATTGACTCTGCAGACTCAGAGTTGACCTTCAAGTCCATGAGTTCATTGTAGGTTTTTGTTAAGATATTAATTAATTCAGAAAAGTGGGAGATATTTATTTGCTCTGGGTCAGGGTGTGTCTCTGACTGGAGGATCCACTGCATGATGGAGTGAGCCTCGGGAAAGTTTGTCACTTTGTAGATGTGAGGATCCAGAAGCTTTCGCAATTGAGATTTAATAAATTTAGTTTTGTAACTGGAAACTTCTTTGCAAAATTTGACAGTTTTTATTAGGAAATTCTGCAGGTCTCCATTTGTAAGACATACGTTTATCCATGTGTCATAACATTTCATTTTTTGATTCAGCATCTGCATGATGTGTATTAATTTTTGAAGCTGCTCTTCAGGTTCTGATACTTTCCAGGATTTCACATCCTTTAGGAAATTTCTAACCTCCTTCTCAGTATTCAGTAGTTCTTCCTCATACTGAATCTTGGCATTGAAGCTTGTCATAGTAGTATAGGTGTCATTAAGACACTGAGCCATCTGGAGGGCATTCTTAAAATCACTTCTGTGGCTGCAGAGGATGATGTCCCAAATGGGTACCAGCTGGTGTCCCCGGTCGATAATGCACCAGGTTTGATTGTTGGCAATGAGGCCTGCTTTCCATTGCACAAATCCATCTGCTTCTGGTGGGCCACCTGTCTTGGCCTCAGACACTTGCACTTTGGTTTGGAGATTTTGGAGTGTTTTTCTTGGAGAGTGTGCTTGTGAAAGAGTGTTGGACACCTTACTACCTGCAAGAACATTCATTCCAAAGCCACCATAGCTGTCCCTAATGTAAATATCCAGGGACTTGGCAAAGTGCCCTTTTGCTTCTTCCAATTGCTCTCTCTGGAATCCCTCTGAAATGGCCTTCCACCAGAAGATTCCTCCCAGGTGCAGAGGGCCTTGGTTTGCATGAGAACCAAATCTGTGGAAGAATTTTTCCATCCTGCACCTCAACATGGTGGGCAGTTTGTCAGAGCTAGGGGTCTGTTGCAGGATGTCTTCAATGCACTTCAATTCTTGCAGAGCAGCCTTGGATAACTTGAGCTGATCCATGGAGAAGTGGCAGGAGGCCAGGGGGACATAGCTGAACTTGGTTGAACAAAAATAAGAGTGCTCAGAATGTGATTGTTCTTTTTCCTTGAATTCTGAATGTTGGTTGTGATTCATACCCTCTTCTAGACTAACTTCCAAGCCTACAACCTCAGCTGATTCACTTAAGCTTAAGCCCAGCTTCTCTACACTCTGTGTGAACATAGACTCTGCTTCTCGGGAGGTGAATTCAACTGTTTCCATTCGTGTGCCCTGCTCAGGTCCAAGGAGTGAAAGCTCCTTGGGCAGGCTGAGTAGCTCCTCTCTTCTTTCAAGCAGGTCCCTTTGTTGGCTGGTTTTGTAAATCCCCTGCAGGGCCAGTCCTCCAGATGCCCTTCTCACCAGATCTCTGTCTGGAAGGTTTTGCCTAGCAGTCTGGATCCCCTCTGTGAGCCTGAATAGTTTCTGCATGTTGTCTAGAACCTCCCAAAGTGACTTTTCAGGTGGTGGCCAGTACTCCTCAGGTATTTCCATTGCTTGCCTCAGCTCTTCTTCCTTTCTCTTCACTACCTCTTCCTGTCGCTGCCTCCCTTCAGACAACAATTTCTGCAGTTCTTGCAGTGCCTTTTCTGCCTGCATCTGCTTTTGGTTCATCAGTTCCACAGGAGACTGCTTTGACCCTGAAATCTTGGATGGTGACAGGTGCAGCAGCTTCTCCAGGGCTCTTTTCTCCCATGGATGTCGTGTCTGGTCTTTCAGCTTCTGGAGGTCCTCTTCATCAAGGTGTTGTAAGGCCTGTGCGCAGGTCACACCCAGGTGTTCCTGCAGCATTGGTAACCAGTACTCAGCAGCCAGTCCCACTGCTCTCAGCCTCTCTTGGAGATCTTGTTTCCTTTCTTCTCTGAGCAGATGTTCATCATGGGTGTGTCCTCCTGTGGCCATGGCTGTTTGAAAAATATACATTCAATTAACTTGTCTGCTTCCTGACCCAGGATATATTGGCCTCGTGACAATGGTTTGAATCTAGAAAAGATAAGTCTCTTCTTTAATAAGTCCAACATAAAAAAGTTTTGTTAATATTAAGTGGAAATCATCATTGTGGGTGTTCATAAATTGTCTTGGTTTTTAAAAAAGATTTATTATTATTATGTTTTTTTGCAAAGTCACATATACAGAGAGACAGAGAGGAAGATCTGTCTGATGATTCACTCTTCAGGTTGCTACAACTGCTGGAACTGAGCGAATGCAAAGCCGGAGCTTTTTCCGGGTATCCCAAGCAGGTGCAGGGTCCCAAAGTTTTGGGCCGTCCTCAACTGATTTCCCAGATCATAAGCAGGGAGCTGGATGGGAAGTGGGGCTGCCAGGACTAGAACCAGCATCCATATGGGATCCTGGCACGTTCAAGCTGAGGACTCTAGCCACTAGGCTGCCACACTGGGGCCCAATGTCTTGGTTTTTTAATTGCCAGAGTTATTTTCAGTATAGCCTGTTTCTGGCACTGATTTCACAGACCTAAACTGATGGTGACAGCTAAGCTTTAAGATGAAGTATAAAAATATATACATGTTTGAAAGTTTTGTGTGTATTTGTTAGACAGGGCTATAGTTCCAATCACTTCACTCTATTTGTTTCTGTGAAACCTAGATTGAATCCTGGTTCTATTATTAATTCTCTGTTAATTTTTCTTAGCATATTTAATAATATGTACTTTTTCTTTCCCTCTTGTTGCTATCACTTTTGTATGTTTATTACCCAAGATTTATTATTTATTTTTTAATTGAAAGCAGAGTGACAGAATGAAGGTGACAGAAAATAGAGAATTTCTTTCTGCTGGTTCATGCCCCAGATGGTTGTTGGCCAAGCCAAAGCACAGAAGTCAGATACTGTATCTGAATATCCCAAGTGGGAGGCAGATAACCAAAACTCTTGAGACATCATATTCTGCTTCTGCTTCCAAATTACATTAGCAGGGAGCTGTATTCTGCTAAAGCTACTAAAGTTGTTCAAATCGGCAATCTGCTGTGGTTTTCATGTTTCCAAGCAGCGACACACTTCACTGCACTGCAATACCTTTCCCATTCTTACACTTCTCTTTCCTCCATATTTTCTTCTTTTTTTGGGAGGGGGGCTGTAGCTCAGCATACCCTGTTTATTCTTCATTTTAAAAAAAAATTTACTTCTTTTTATTATTATCATTATATGTTAGAGTTTTATAGGCCCTGGGATTTCCCTTATCCCCTCAACAAATTCCTCCCCTACTCACTGAGTTGCCATATATCATTACTATAGTATAGTTCTTAATACACAGTTGTATGTCCATTATTACAGACATGGACAATGGCAGACAGTCCAGCACCCTATTATAGAGATATGGTGAACAGTTTTAGTGGAAGTCTATATCTTTGTCTGGAAGTAGAGATGTATACTGCATTGTATCCTCACATCTGGATATGATAGTCTCCATTACATAGTTATTATACATCCCCTTAAATGAAAAGCCACAAAACATATTCAACAACAAGAGGGAGAAAATTAACAATACCATGAAGTTAAATAACATGCTACCGAATGACTAATGTGTCGCTGCAGAAATGAAAAAGAATTCAAGAACCATCTTGAAGAAAATGATATTACTGTATGATCTATGAGTCATTGAAGAATTTAATAAGAAGAAACTGTTTTGAAGATGTGAAACAAACAAACAAACAAACAAACAAACAAAACCACATCAAACCATGAGATACAGTTTCCACTGATCTTTGTTGGTGAAAGTGTCTCCTGTAGGCAGCAAATAGATGGGTTTTGTTCTTTAATCCAGTCTACTAATCTATGATGTTTGATTGATGCATTTAAGCTGTTTACATTCAGGGTTAATGTGAATAGGTGGTAATTTGGTTCTGTCATTTTAGCAATGGGTTGATCATTGATTTAGGCTCTTGTTATGTTACTGGATGTTCTCATTTGCCTTTGGTTTTAGTGGATGCTCTTCCTCTTCTCTGTCAAGAGAACATCTTTGAGTCTCCTTTGTAGGGCAGGTTTGGAAGAGGCAAATTCTTTTAAATTTCTTGACTGTGGAAGAAATTTATTTCATTTTCAAAGAAAAGAAAGTTTTGCTTGGTACGTTATCCTGGTCCGACGATATTTTACTTTTAGAATCTGAAAAAAAAAATGCTCCATTCTCTTCTTGCCTGTAGAGTTTTATGTGAAAGGTCTCCTGTGAGTTTAGTTGGCATTCCTTTCTATGTCAATTGATTTTTTTCATATGCACATTTTAGAATTTTTTCCTATTCTTCGATTGTAGAGAGCTTGCTTATCTTGTGTCTTGGTGAAGATTGCTTTTGATCAAGCCTGTTGGGAGTTATGTGCCCCTCCTGGATCTTGTTTCCCAATTCTTTCTCTAGATTAGGGACATTTTCCCTTATTATTTCATTAAATACAACTTTAATCCCAACTTCTCTTTCTGCATCTTCTGCGACTCCCATCACTCTTACAATGGGCCCTTTAATAGTATCTTTCAATTCCTTTTTTTTTTTTATTGTTAATCACATTGTGTTTTGTGATACAGTTTTGTAGGCACTGGGATTCCCCCTGCCCCTCCCACAACCCTACCCCCATGGTGGATTCCTCCAACTACCTGCATATTCACAGTTGAAGTTCAATTGGGATTCATTCATTGCATGCATATACCTAGCATAGAGTTCAGCATCTTGTTGTCCAGATAAGTTCAGCGGTTTCTGGGGGAGACCTTCTCTGGTCTGAAGGTAGAGCTAACAGAGTAAATTACCTGTCAGTTAAAAGCCCCAACAAAACTTCAGCAACAATATACAGTGTCATGGAATTAATTGACATAGTATTGAGTAGACAATATGTTAGAAATAATGCAAGTTCAATTTTTCACAACACATGGATTGAGACAGTATCAATGACAGGTTCAAAAACAAATAAGCCAACAAACAAATAAAATTACTGGTTAAATTAAGGCAAACATGTGGTATCTAACCTTTTGGGATTCACTCATTTCCCTTAGCATTATAGTTTCCAGTTCGGCCCAGTTAGCCACAAAGAAAGGCATTTTGTTTTTTTAATAGCTGAGTAGTATTCCATGGAGTAGATGAACCAAAGCTTTCTTATCCAATCTTCTGCTGATGGGCATTTCGGTTGCTTCCATGTTTTTGCAATTATTGATTGAGCTGCTATGAACATAGAGGTGCATGTTGGTTTGTCATAAAACAGGTGTTTTGGATATATTCCTAGGAGTGCTATTGCTGGGTTATATGGTATGCAGATTTTGAGTTGTTTGAGTGTTCTCCATACTGATTTCCATAAAGGCTGTACCAACCTGCATTCCCACCAGCAGTGGAGTAGGGTTCCCTTTTTCCCACATCCTCGCCAACAAGTGTCGTTGGTCTTCTTTTTTATGTGGGCCAATCTTACTGGTGTTAGATGGTACCTCATCGATGTCTTAATTTGAATTTCCCTTATTGCCAGGGAGCTGGAGCATTTTTTCATATGTTTGTTTGCCACTTGGACTTGTTCCTTTGTGAAATGTTTGCCCATTTCTCGTGCCCATTTCTTGAGTGGCTTGTTTATTTTGGTGTTTTGGCTGCTTTGGAGTTCTTTGTATATTCTGGAGATTAGCCCTCTATCCGCTACATAGTGCACAAAGATCTTCTCCCATTCTGTGGGCTGCTTTTTTACTTTGCTGATTGTTTCCCTAGCTGTACAAAAGCTTCTTAGTTTGATGAGGTCCCACTTGTTTATTCTGTTCTTAACTGCTATTGCTTTTGGTGTCCTTCTTAGAAAGTCAGGACCTACTCCTAGGTCTTGCAGAGTATTTCCTACATTTTCTTGCAAGAGTTTGAAGGTTCCTGGATGTAGGTTTAGGTCTTTTATCCATGTAGATTGGATCTTAGTGTATGGCAATAGATGTGGATCTATCTTTTTGTTTCTGCAGGCAATCAGCCAGTTGTCCCAACAACATTTACTGAAGAGGCCTTCCTATTTGCTTGGACTGTCATTCTTTTTTTTTTTTTTTTTGTCAAAGAGTATTTGGTTGTATTTGTGTGGATTCCCTTGTGGTGTTTCTATTCTGTTCCATTGATCCTCCTCTCTATCTTTGTGCCAGTACCAGGCTGTTTTGATAACTACTGCTCTATAGTATGTCCAGAGATCTGGAACTGTGATTCCCCCTGCTAACTTCTTGTTCTTTAGGATGTTTTTAGCTATTCGTGGTTTTTTGTGTTTCCAAGTGAACTTTTGAATCATTGTATCCAGTTCCGTGAAGAATGTTTTGGGCAATTTGATTGGAATTGCGTTGAAAATATATATTGCTTTTGGTAGTATAGACATTTTAATGATATTGATTTGACAAAATCCAACATCGCTGTTTGTTAAAAACCCTAACCAGGGTAGGCATAGAAGGAACAATCCACAATATAGTCAAAGCAATATACGAAAAACCCAATGCCAGCATCATACTGAATGGTGAAAAACTGGATTCCTTTCCACTGAGATCTGGAACAAGACAAGGATGCCTGCTATCCCCACTGCTATTCAACATAGTCCTAGAGGTGCTCGCAGAGGCCATAAGACAAGAAAAAGAAATCAAAGGCATACAAATAGGAAACGAAGAAGTCAAACTTTCACTATATGCAGATGGCATGATCCTGTACATAGAAAAACCAGGAGACTCAATGCAGAAACTGCTAGAACTTATATGAAAGTTTGGCAGAGTGGCAGGGTACAAAATTAATGAACAAAAATCAACAGCCATTGTGTACGCAAACAGCCCCAAGATGGAAAACATCTAACCCGCAAGATACCATTGAAAATAACAGAGGGAAGTATGAAGTATCTGGGAATAAATTTAACCAAAAGTGTAGGAGACCTATATGAAGAAAACTACAAACTACTCAAAAAAGAAGTTGAACAAGACCTCAAAAGA